TGACTTGCTTAAATAATAAATCCACCCTCTTAGACGGGGTTAAGCAGACAATTAGGAAATCAATCAACCAATCCATGGGTGTCAGCTGCAGGCAGAGGCCGGGGAAGGGCCCCCGTCTCCCTGGCCGCCCTTTCCAACCTCCAATCCTGCTGCGGCTCAGGCGGCAGGGAGTTCTGAGCTACATTCGCTTCCATTTCAGGGCCCCGAGGCTGGGACAAATCCAGGAAGGACGAAACAAGGAGGGAGTGTGGGGAAGTGTGGGACTACTTCGAAGTTCCGTAGTTAGTGGAGCAGGAAATGAGAGGCCTAGGTGGGGTGACCAGCGGCTCCTGGTCGGTCGTGGTGTCACCCAACTGGCAGGTAAAGTTTCCAGCCTCCTTTGTAAGAAGCCCGGGGAGGCTCCGTGGCCTGCCGGTTTGGGGAATGGAATGGCTGGGACACGGGTGCCAACTGCAGGGCTAATCACTAACTAGGCTGGACTTAAGGAGGGAGAAAAAAAAAAAAAAAAAGGAGCTGCGAGAGGCTGAGCCTTTGAAAACCATGGTGGCCTCTGGTTGGTGGCCTCTGCAGAGACAACTCTACCCTGAGATTGAGGGGCAGAGCCCAGGGTGTCACCTGGAACCTTCAGCATCGAACAAGTCATCCTGAGGCCCCAGCCCGCCTGAGACAGCCAACTTCGGGGTCTGGGAGCACCTCTCTGGGCGCCCAAGATATTGTTGGCTGGAGCCAAGGCCTCTCACAGGCCTGGGCTTGGACAACTTCCCTAGTGGGAGGGGGCCACACACATACCCTCACTAGGGACACAACTTTCTCCCCAGCTTATGCCTTCAAGCTTTGTCTCCACGAAGTGACAGAAACCTCATGTGGTTTCTCCTGAGAAGGGAAAAGAACTGCATCTACGGAGGAAACAGGAAGAGCCGTTTGATTAGTATTTTTAAGATGAGTTGCTCTAAAGGAGAAAGAGCTTGACTGGGACACAGATAGTCTGTGGCTTTGGCCCTGAAACCCAGAGATGCCTCCACCATCCTGACTCTGGGGAGGGGGGCAGGCTGTGTTTAAGGCTTGACAGGGGGATGTCTGAGAATGTCTGCTTCCCTCCCCAGGTCATGACTGCACAGCCCGGGAGTCCTCCTACAGGCAGGAGCATCACTCCCTGGGGAGCGGGGGTTCCCTTGGGGACCCATCCCTGGAGAGGCGATGCCTGGGCTTTCTGGTGGCACAGCTCTTCTTGCCCGCACTCCTCCCCAAGAGAAGTTGGGGCAGGTCATTTGTTTGCATAGAAGTAGGACCAGCTTTGCCCACGCAAACTGGCGGGGGTCCCTGCCCAGGCCATTCAACTCCCCCAGGACCCCTGTCTAATCTGTTAGAACTCCCAGTGGATCCAGGCAGGTTTGGGTGCTGTTTGTTTGCAGGTGGAAAGCCAGCTGGGGTGGGCTGGTGGGGCCTGACTCGGCTTCCAACTGCCCCAAGACCCAGAATGATGAAGTTGGCCTGGATCCCACCTGGGGAGTGCAAAGTCAGAGGTGGGGAATACAAAGATGCCCGGCTGGTGGTCCAGGTCGAGAGAGGCAGGCTTCTTCCTTGGCCCAGAAGAGCAGTTGAGTTGTGCCTGAGGAATGGCCGATCCAAATTCGGTGTGGTGTCTGCAGTGTCTTAGGCCCTGGTCTGGTCCCAGGATAGTCTGTTTATGGGGTGGGGTGGGGGACATGAGGTAGCTTCATCTTCCCTAACCTCACTCATCTGAGGCAGGGGCTCAACCATTGCCCAAGTAACAAGCAGCACCGATACTGGCCTGGAAGAAGGTCTGTGTGGTCACCTTCCTCCAAGAGAGTGAGGCCAGAACTTTGGGGGAGGTGAGTCGGGGTATCCCATCCCATCACCCACAAACCAACCCAGCCCTAGCAGTAAAGAGGACAGGACACAGCCCTGGGGTACATGTTTATGTGAGTAATAAAATATTTACTATAACATAAATATAAAGGGAACTTCCCAGTCTACATTATTATTATTTTTTTGCAATAAAGATACAAAGAGAATGCACCAAAACATTGTTCCAAAAAATAATAAAAATAAAATAACAAAATTTAAATTCAAACGGTAACAAACAGAACCAGAAATGGAGAAGGGGGAAGCTCCAAACACATCCAGAAAATAAATAGAGATGGATCAGAAATCTGGAAATCATATTAAAATATCTTTTTCGGATTAGTGGGTGTACAAAATCCTTTAGTATGGGGAGGGAGGGCAACCCGGAAAACCAAAAATAAAAACCAAGCACAAAATGTTTCTTTCTCCCCGCCAGTGTGTACATATCTCACATATTTACATGGTTCCCACCTCACCCCAAATTTGGGGAATTTCTCTGCAGGCCTCCGCCAGCATCCCGCATCCCAGGGGGCTGAAAGGGAGCGGACGGAAGCTGCAGGGACTCAGGCAGAAGGTTCTCAGGGAACGGCTTATTTCTACAGCTGGTTAAAAAATATCTCCAACTTTTCCAAGTTTCGTTTGTTTGTGGCCGGGAGGTCAGGGCCCCGCGGGGAGTGGGGGCCCTGCTGTGCGGTGGTCGGTCTACAGCCGGGCAGAAGCCCCTTCCCATCTGCGTGTGCGTGGGAGCGCAGACCCCTCCAGCGTGGCCGGGAACCGAGCCGGAGCTCGGATAAAACGAAACGAAAAATGAACACTCGAATTTTTTTTTGTTGTTAGTTTTTCTTTTTTGTCTGTTTTTTGTTTTATTTTGCTTTTTTGGGGTAGGGTAGGGGAAGGTAAGGGGAAAAAATAAATTAGGCTAGATTAAAGCTTTGGCTATTTCCTGCTTTTATACACAGACGCGGCTCTCGCGGCCTCCCCTCCGGGGCCCCGATAAATACAGTATACAGCGATTTAAATTAAGGGCGCGGGCGGAGTTAGAAGGACCCCAGGAGCCGAGAGGCTCCGTGAATAAATAAAAACTGTAAAAAACCAAGCCCGGAGGAAAGGTAAGGGGGATGGGGCGCATCCTTATGAGAGAGAAGAGGCGTGGAGCGAATAAAGTGACAGTCCCCCACCCTCGACACTCAGGCTCGGGAATCCGCGCCGGGGAGAGGGATGGGGAACTCTCCTCTCTCCGTCCTCTCTCCCGGGTAATCCCTAACCCCGTACCGCGTTACCTGTCGCTGTGGGGAGGCCGCTGCCGGGATCCGGCCCCGAACAGCCCGGGGGGGCAGGGGCGGGGGTCGTCGAGGGGTTGGGGGCAGGGAGCAGGCGGCGGGCAGGATGCCCGGGGTGAGTTCCGGATCTTCGCTCCTCTCTCTCGGGGCTCGGACGACGCAGCCTATCGGCCGTCTTCGCCGCTCGCAGGAGAGGGTCGTCCGGGTGTTTGGTTTTATTCGAAAGTTTCTGGGCTTTTTGTAAAATCCAAAGCAACCGAACAAAAAGAGTTCAGGCCGCGCGGCGCCTCGCCGCGCACCGGCGGGGGGCCCGGCCCGCGGGGTCACTGCACGGAGCCGGGCAGTGTGTGGTGGTGGTGGTGCAGCGCGGCCGGCGGGGGCGCCGAGGGCGGCGACGCACCGCCCCCGCCCGGCCCCAGCTCGCCGGGCGCGTACACGTCGTCCATGGGCGGGTGGCCGGCGCCGGCCGCCGGGGTCATGCGCTTCTCCTTCTGCCGCCGGTTGCAGAACCAGACGCGCACCACCTCCTTCTCCAGCTGCAGGCTGTCGGCCAAGCCTGTGATCTCATGCGCCGAGGGCTTGGGGCACTTGAGAAAGTGGCTCTCGAGCGCGCCTTTGACCCCCACCTCGATGGACGTGCGCTTCTTGCGCTTGCGGCCCTGCGCCGCGATCTTGTCCATGTTGGTGGGGCTGCCACTGGACGAGTCGGTCTCCTCCAGCCACTTGTTGAGCAGCGGCTTGAGCTTGCACATGTTCTTGAAGCTCAGCTGCAGGGCCTCGAAGCGGCAGATGGTGGTCTGCGAGAACACGTTACCGTACAGCGTGCCCAGCGCCAGCCCCACGTCGGCCTGCGTGAAGCCCAGCTTGATGCGCCGCTGCTTGAACTGCTTGGCGAACTGCTCCAGGTCGTCCGAGCTGGGCGCGTCCTCGTCCGAGTGCTCGCCCACCGACGAGCCACCGCCGCCCGCGCCCGGGTGCAGGTGCGCCGCTGCCGCGTGCAGGCCGCTGGCGTGTGCATGTCCGTGTGCGTGTCCGTGGGCGCCCAGGTGCGGCGGAGGCGACGGCTCCAGCTGAGCCTCGTGGCCGTCCTCGTGCAGCGCGTGGTGCAGGCCCGGCCCCGCGCCGCCGCCGCCCGCCGCCAGCATTCCGGCCAGGCCGCTGCCGCCGCCCCCCGGGTAGGCCGCCTGCGCGTACAGCCCGAGCGGTTGGGGCTGGTGGCCCCCGCCGGCCCCCGGCGACGGCGACATGGCCGGGCCCAAGTGGTGTGCCGTGCCGCCCTGCGCCCATGCCGCGCCCGCGTGGGCCGCCCCCTGGTGCACCAGGCGCGCGTGGAAACCGCCGCCGCCGCCACCGTCGTCGGCTCGGCCGGCGCTGCCGCCGCCCGCCTTGCCGTGTTCCAGGTGCGGGCCGCCTGCCCAGTCGCCGCCGCCGCCTCCTCCCGTGGGTAGCCACTGCGGGTGCGCTAGGCCCACGGGGTGGCCCGCGCCCGCGCCCAGCCACTCGTGGTGCATCAGCTTCTGCACTTCGCGGTACGCGGCCCCCGCGTGCAGCCGCTCGGCTGCCGCCGCCGCTGCCGCTGCCGCCGCGGCATCCGGATGCATAAGCGGTCCCGTGCCCCCGGCTCCGCCGCCGGGGCCCCGCGGCAAGTACTGCGCGGTGGTGGCCATGCCGCCCCGCGTCCCGCGCCGCGCCGCTGCCGCCGCTCCGCTCCGTCTGCGGGCCCCGCCGCCGCGCTCCGCCGGCTTAAAGCCCGACCAGCTCAGCGCTCCGGAGCCCCACCCCACCCGCCGCCCATTGGCTGCCAGCGGAGCCGCCTCCCGCCCCCCGGTCCCGGCCCCCGCCCCCCCTGCCCGCCTGCCTCTCGGCCCGGCCGCCCAGAGCTCGCCATTGGGCCTCACTCCTGGGGTCCCGCGCGCCGACCATGCTGATTGGCCGCTGGGGCTTCATTCACAGCCCCCCTACCTTCCGCGTATACGCTCACGCCCCGGGGGCGCGGCCGCCACGTGGGGAGTGGCGCGGGGGTGGCACTGGGACCGCACCCCCTCTCGTCCTGGCTGCGTGGGCCCCACTTTCCCCCGGCGCTGGAGACTCCGAGCCCAGCGGGTCCCACGCTCCAAGCTAGCAGAATTCTCGCCGGTCACCCGCCCCTGTGGCCAGAGGCGGTGGCGGGGATGGCGGGCTCCGGGAGGCGCTCGGGTTCCGAGAAGCAGCTCAGCCCCGCGCTCCTCCTTCCGCCGTGCCGCTGCCGGCGGGCCGGGATTCCCGCGGGTCTCGGCGGCTGCGAGCGGCAGGCGGCGCGGGTCCCCGGCTCGGTTGCGGCGCGGCTGCTCACCTCGCCCGCCTCGCCTCCCGCGACTTCCAGCGGGCACGGAGCTCTCCTCTGCGCTCCTCCCTGGCCCGTCTCGTTTTCCCTCTTCACCCTCTAGTACGCCCAGCGCAACTCCGTCGACCTCCGCCGCCCTGAGAGACCGTCGGGCGCGGGCAGAGTCGGACTGGCCCCGACTTCACGCCTCTCACGGGCTCTCCTCCCGGGCGCCGCGGCCCAGGTGAGTACCTCGCGGGTGGCTCGGGGCCGGAACGGCCGGCGGCAGCGATGCTGTGGGGAGACGGGAGCTCCTGTAACCAGGCCGATTCCAAGGTTCCTGAGTGAGAGGATCTCGAGGTGGAGACCGTGGCTCCGGGAAAGCACCGCCGACAGGAATGGTGGACACACTGGGCCCACGGGTATCTGACCCACGCCGCCGCCTCGCTCCTTCTCCTTCCTGCCTGCCCGGCTCATTGGCCTGGGTCATGGCGGGGTCACGCCCCGGGGAAACTTGCTCTAGGTGAGGAGTGGCGTGGACATGGGGAAGGGCGCTGGTGCCTCAGAAATCCGGCGTGCAGGCTGGGAGCTGTCCAGCCTTGCAGGGAGCCCTGGGCTGGAGTTTAACCCACTTGCCTGGGGCTGCTGAAAAGGGAACTGGGACTGAAGAGGTCTTGTTGGAAAGGTGCGGCATGCAGTGGCTTACCTACTCATCCCCCAGGTCTTTGAGGACTCCCCGAAGGATCCTGAGTGGACTTGGGCCCCAGCATCAGCTCTTCTGTGCCATGCTGGCTGGAGGATGAGTGGAATGAGCTGTAGCCTCCACGTCTTCCCCACGCTGAGGCTTGGCTCTCGGGGAGTCTTCCAGCTGCCAGTTCACCTCTTTTCTATCCCTGATCTTGCCTCCAATGGATTCATAGATTCCAGAGCCCCGGGGGTCCCAGATTGGAGGACCGAGCTGGGGGCCCAGCTAGGGCCCTACTGGCAAGTCAGGACTGTGGAATAAAGCCTCAGTATGTGAAGAAGGGTGATGGGGGGGCTCAGGGGGCAGCCGCAGCGGGGGTGACTGGGGCAGAGTCGACAGTGACAAGGGTCATCCTTGGGCACAGACTGTGCTCATCCAGGCCCTAAACGCCCTAGGACCAGCCTCTGGCTAACCCCCAAGGGATGGGGTGGCCACTGGCCGCTGTCCTGAGCAGAGTCCTTAGGTACCACTCCCACTGCAAGAGCTGTGATGGAGCCCTGTGTCTGAACCTAGCTAGGGATCCTGGGCTTTCCTGGACTCTGGCCCAGGAAGTGGTCACCTTGAGGCAGCCCAGGACTTCCTGGTCCACTCGCCTTCCTGGTCTCTCTCCCAGGCTCAGGAGGTAGGACCACGGCTGGGAATCCTGTAGTGAAGTCCCCTCTCACGCCAGCCCTAACCAGACCTGCGTGACATTGAAGCTTGGGCTTCCAACCTGGACCTGCTACTGTCTTCCTGGGCAAGAATAACTCTGGCCCAGTCTTCTAGGGCTTGGTTCTTCTACCTGTAAATTGGGAATAACAGTACCATAAGTAGCACACCTGTCTCACTAAGGTAAGTTAGAGGGTGGTACAAGACAACGTGAGTGAAAAGGGCTCAGAAAGGACTTTTCACTCTCGTTGTTTCTATTGTTAGTGCCCAGTGAAAGAACAGGTTACTCCCCTTCTCTAACTCAATCTCAGCTTGCTCATCTGTAGAGTAGCGTTCTGGAGGTTTGGGTCAGGTGACCTCTCTGGTAAACTCCCTTCCAGCTCTGATGGTCTGTGAGTCTATGAACCTGTCTCAGTTTCTGTCAGAGGAAGGGAAATGTCTGGACAGTGGACAGGTGGTGTTTGGAACGGTCATCACGAGCAATGGGTGCTTTACCAAATGCTTTTCATTCATCACGTTACCTGCCGCTCTCAGCCCCGAGAGTGAGCGCTGGGATTGTTCTCCCATTGCACAGCTGAGGGAACTGAGGCTCGTCCGAGGGCCGAGAATGTGTGGAGGTCCCACTCCCCGTCATCCTCCCTGTGGCTGTGGGATGGGAAGGGTGTGGAGGCAGCGGCTTTGGCCGTCACAGCAGAGAGAGCTCACAGAGAGAGCTGTCTGGTCAGCTGGCACTCTTGAAGCTGAGTTCCCCAGGTCTGTGCTGAATTGAGGGGTGGCTGCGGCAAAGCCAGGCTCCTAGGTTGCCAGCTTGTCAGCTGGCAAATCTCAGTCCCAATCCCATTACCCCCTTCAGTACCCTTGCCCTTTGCTTTGCCTGTTGGAGCCTCAGTTTCTTTATCTTAAAATGGGGACAGTAATGCCTGCTTCTCAGGTTTGCTCTGAAGCTGCAAGGATGAAACAAAGCATGTAATTTAGATGCCCCCTTTTAATATGAGATGCTGCTCTGGGGTGAACAACAGTGTGAACTACGAAAGGATAACTTTCCTTTCTCTGCTTTGGAAGTTTTAGATCTCCTACAATAATATGGGTTTGGTCTTGAGTCACAATTTTCTTATATTTGAGAGTTAAGTTTCCCCTAGGAAGTCTCGACATCTCCTTTGCTCTTGCCCCTAGAGATTCTGGGTGGGACACTGGGGGCTATGACATGGCCATTGGCAGAGACACCTGTTACAGAGCATCTCCTCTCTCCAGGAGCCCTACCCTCATAGACCACAGAGAAAACCCAGAACACGGAAGTCAGACAGCCAGCTGACCAATGCAGACACAGAATGGTTTAGGCATATGAACAGATGTGCATTCACACACACACACACAAATGCATAGCCCGCAGATACACGCATGAAATTTAGCCTGGAGACAAACATTCAGATGCGTAATAGAAACACATGGACTCCCATCATTAGGTTGGATATTCAGAGTCACACAAATCAACACACAATGATAAATACAGGCATGTGTCTCAACAGGAACATTCACAGAACCCATGCAGAGGCTGTAGTCGGCTCAAGTAGGCATTCCTTCAGCAACATAGACATAGAGGGGACCTGCAGGCCCTTCGGGTGACAAGCATGGAGGCTCTCAGCTGGCACGCCAGTTCACACAGATGGGCACACCCTCGTGTGTTCACAAACATGAGCACACACTCTCCCACCCAGTGCACAGATACAAAGAGGCCCACCCCACACATCACACAGACACCTACATCCTGTAGGAACTAACCCATCTGCACAGCGGATCAGAAAGCAGAGGAAGGGGCTGTACCCAGCCCTGAGTTTAGTCCATGCGAGTCAGTGGCCCCACTCATTCGAAGGAAGCAGGAAAGCCCTTTCTTGTCATATATTTTTTTTCACTCTCCTTGTCTGCGGAGGACAGCTCCCAGCCAGGCCGCCGCCAGTCTCAGAGGCTCCCCGGCCTCCCTCCCCAGCAGGGGCCCCTGCCCAGACTGCCCCCGGGCCAGGAGCTGCCCGGGCTTTCCCAGAGTGGCAAGACCTCCTCCAGGCTCTGGAGTGTGACCGCGCCTGCTCATTTGACACAGGCCACCGAGCCTCCGGCAGATGGGGCCCTCGCTGTGGGGGATCTCTGAGCTGGAGGGGCTGCAGGGGGAGGCTCTGTGGGGCTGAACTGCAGCTACACAAGCCCCACATTCTCTGTGCAAAGTCTCAAGTCACAGACACAAACCCCTGCCATCTACATTCACACTCCCGCCTGAGAAGTTCAGATGCAGCCTCTAGAGTCTGACCACACTCGCCATCAGCTGCACCGCAGCCACACATGCACTGTAATATTCCAGACGCACATCCCAGACAGGCGAGCCTACACAGTGGCTCACTGAACGAGATTTGGGAGGAAGAGGAGGCAGCTGGTTCTGGCTGCTTTCCCGCCTTGGACTCTGGGCCCCTGCTGCTGTGTCTTGTGTGTGGGGCAGTGGGTCCTTGGAGTCCAGGGCAGCACTGAGAGGAGATGCAGCCACAGACCCAAGGCTTTTTCAGTGTTGCGGGAAGACGGGCTCCAAGACACTCCACCTGGATTCCTCGCAAGTCAGGAGTGCTGAGCGGAGCTAAAGAGAGGAGAGATCGGGCCCGTGGGGAGGGCTGCTAGAGGAGCTTGTGTCCTAGGATGCCCTCCTGTGTGCGTGGGCTTGAAGTCTTTGTCTGAGGCAGGCTGGGCTGGAAGGGGGGCGGGATGCGGGCAGCACTCAGCCCACTTCCTTTCCCTTCTGCCAGTCTTTTTATGCCCCAGATCCTGTGTTTTCAGAGTGTCAAGGGTCCTGGCTTCCATCTTGACTCAGACTCAGGCCTGCTGGATGATACTGGACCAGTCTCAGCCTCCTGACCTCTGTGAGCCTCAGTGTTCTCATCTGTAAGCTGGGCAGGATGGTCTCTGCTGGGTTCTTGTGAAGGCGGGATGAGATCACTGCCCCGATGGAAACTCGGAAAGGGGAAGCATGGCTTGGTTTTCCTCCCTGGCTGCTAGGGGTGAGTAAGAGGCTGTGTGAGTAGGAACAGAACCTGCCTGTTCCCCCAACCAGTTCTTGCTGAGCGGTGTCAGGAGTGACCACGCCCATAACCTGCTTGTTCCGGGCTGGAACGTGTTTTTGACTGGAAGAGTCTGTCAGGGTCCTGGCTGCTGCAGATTCCAGCCTGGGTAGGCGCATCCACTCCCTCTGTGCAGGTTGGTACCAGCTAGACAGATTCATAGCGCTCACCACCATCCAGAGAGCTCTCCCACAAGGGATGTGATCACTATTCTGAGCTCTCAGTCCCCCCCACCTCTCTCCCTCTAAGCTCAGCCATTCTAGGTGTCCTACCTCTTTTGTCCTTCCAGTGCTCAAAAGAGCCTAGCATAGAAGAGCAGAGAGGTAGGAGAGGCATGGCTGCCTTTGGCAGAGGAGAAAGAAGCAGTCTCATTTAATTTAAGGTTCTCTATCTCTCAGACTTGGGGAAGGGAAGGAAGGATGAAAGGTGGAATATCTCTTAGGGATGAACCTTCCCTTGTATTTTTGCGCCTGCCTCGGCCCCCTAGGTCTATGTGTGGTGTGGGGATCCTCCCAGTGCATCAGTAGAATATTCAGATTAGGGGTGGTCAATTGCTCTTGAAATTTACTTTCATTTTTAGCAGAATGGCAGCCTCTGAGCTGGTGCTAATGCCCACGATCCGGTTATGCAGAACACGCTCTCTGCAAATCGGTAAATCATTAGCGGGGATTAATCACTCTGAAAGGCTGGGGCTGGGTTTGAGTTTCTCTCTCTCTCTTTTTTTTTAAACACACTTTTTATCTGGATGGCTGCAAAATTCAACACCACAGGGTGGGGTGGGAGCAGCAGTGATGATTTAAGTTCTTGTCACCATTGTTAGACGAGGGAGGTGCCTTCCTGGGCCTGGTGTTGACTCTGGCCCGACCGAGGGTGGGGGGTAGACAGCTCAGGTAGGGGGGAAGGGAGGGAGGGGGGTTCCCTTGTGTTTGTGTGCATCAGTGTTTTCAATAGTGTGTTGGGGGCTTGGTGTGCTTGTAGCTTGCTTGCGTGAATTCCTGTTCGTACTTTACAGATGCCCAGAAGGATTTCAGCGCTTGTGTTTGGGTGCTTGTGCTTGGTTAATATGTGTGCATTAGTGTTTGTAATCGTATCAGACAGTGCTTCCCTTTAAGAGTGGTTTTAAAGACCACACCTCACCTTCCTCAGCCTCCAGGAAGCTCTGGAGGGGGAGTAGGCAGAGCTGGAGGGAGGTCCCAACTTCACCTGTGGGCGGGGGCATGGCTCATGGATTATTTACATATTCATGAGCTGCTGTCTCTTGGAACTCCCCTCTGGAAGAGACTAGCCTGAGGCCCCTTATGGCAGATGGGGAGATGGGGAGGCCAGGCTCTCACGGTAACGCCTCTCACTCTGCCACCCCAGGTCTAGTGGCTGTCCCTCCTCCACCCATGGACCGGGAAAACCCAGGGTTCTGAACCCCAACTTCTGCAAAGCTGCAGTACACACAACTCTAGTTTCTGATGGGAGCTGTGTGGCGGTGATGGGAAAGCTCTTTTTCCTTTCTGGTCCATGACGTCCCTATGGCGGCTCTTGGGGAAAGAAGGTCATTCTTCCAGCTAGGACCAAGCTGATGAATGGGATTCACTCCCACTTAATGTCCACACCAGGCCGGCCTCCCAATCCCGTCTTTCTCCCTAGTTTAGTGCAGCCCAGCTTTGGAGCAACAATTATTTTCAAATGACCCAGTAATGACATTCCTGGGGTATTGGTCAAGGTACATGAGTATGCAGATGAGGTCACAGGACTTCTCCCCTCCAGTTCCAGAGGGTGGGGTTTGAGGTAAGACTAAGTGGGCCTGGTCTTTGCATCAGCTTTGATCCCCCTAGTCCCCTTTCTCCATACAGAGTCAGCTTGGGTAGCCTGGGCACCACTACCTACCACGCCACAGATGGCGCAGATGCCCTGTACTTCTGTTCATGTACCTCATTCATCCCCCAACTGTATGTGCCTCCCCCTCCCCTCTGTGCAGCAGGCTAGCCTGGAGTCGAGGGAAAGACAGAATGATATAGCTCTTTGGCTGTTACAAGTTGGGAGGGTCAGGAGAGAGTTGACTGGGCTCAATGCTGGCATTCCTCGGCTTTCTTGAGAGTAGCAGGTGGAGGGCGGAAGTGGCAAAGGAGGATTTAGGAATTATATTTTCCCAGGGACCTCTTAGCATCTTTATATATCTCTGGTGTCAGACATCTGTCTGAGCTTAGGGTAGCATCTGTCTGGGCTGGAGACAACATCTGTTTGAGGCTGGGACACCTGGCTGAGCCCAGAATATTATCTGGCCCCAGGACAGCTTTTGTCTGGGCCCAGGACATGTGTCTGAACCTGGCATGGCATCTGTCTGGGCCTGGTGCAACATCTTCCTGGCCTGGGGGCAATGTCTGTTTGAGCTCTGGACATCTGTCCGACCTGGGGTTGTCTGCTGAGCCCAGAACAATACCTGTCTGAGCCTGGGGGTGGACTTGTCATGGCAGATAAAATCACCCTCGAGTCTCAGCTTTGGTTTGTGGCTGAGAACAGAGTACATGCCAGACCCACGTCCCTGCTCTCATTTCTACCAGGGAAGGGCTCTTCTGTAGAGTGCCTCAGTTTACCTCCTTCTGTAGGCCCATTGGCCTGCTTGCTCTGGACACCTCAAGGGACAGCCAAAGCCTACATCCCAGGGACTCCAGGAAAGCGAAGTTAAAAGAATAAGGGAGTGGATAGGTTATAAAATCTAAGACTGGTCTAGGACCGTTCTTCCTTCCTCCCGTCCCTTCGTTGAATCAAATCAGAGTGCTCCCCCAAGATACAACTCGGACATGTCACTTGCCTCCTGAGAAGCCTTCCCTTGCTCCCAATTGTATATATTATCAGGCCCAAAATCCCCTCTGGTCCTGCCCCTGCCTCTGCTCTGAACCAGCAGCACGGAGCTTCTTTCCCACAAACACACTGGGACCTAATGATTCCCTACCTTTGTGCACTCAGCTCCCTCTCCTTGGAATGTCTTTCTCTCCCACACCCCTCCACCCCCATCCTCCCATCACATCCTTCAAGTCCTAGTTCAAGGGTTACCCACTCTGGGAATTTTTTTTACTCCTTCTCTAGACTTAGCCACGACCTCTGCCCTGCTTCCACAATGTATTGTGAAGACCACCTCCGTGTTAGCATTTGTGGGCCTGCACTGTCATTGCCCTTTGTATATCTGTCTCTCCCATGGGACTGTGCGCTCCTGGGGGTAGCTGGCTCTGGTTCATCTTTGTCTCCCCAGCACCCAGCCCAATTCCTGGTCTACGGTGGTACCAGTAAGAAAGGCCTGTTGGATGATCACATGGCTGTACCTCTGTCATCTCATTTCCATCTCATTTCATTCTCTGTCTGCAACCAGGATGAAGACATATAGGATCCAAAGATTTGGTACATATGCTCCTGACAGGAGCAGGAAAGAGAAGTGATGCTCGGAGAGCAGTGACGAATCCAGACCTAATGGCCTCTCTGTGGGCTCCGGGGATGGGACCACATCTAAGAAAGAAGACCTTTACCTGGGTCCAGGCCCATTCCCTGAGGGCAGGTGGGAGAATGGAGACCTGGCCTAGCTTGTTGGAGAAGTTTCAGAGTTCCTGGACTTACTGGTCCTGCCAGAGAGGAAAAGTCACATAAGGTGTTGTTAATATAAACACCGTGCCCAGAGCAAACTGCTCTCCCTGGCCAGGTTCTGAGGAGAGCATCTGGGGACAGAGGCTGAGTAGGGAGGGGTGCAGAACGGTGAGGAGGTGGCTGAGAAGTGGAGGCTCCCAGGGCATGGTCTCTGCCTTGGTGGCTTTTATTCCACCACATAGAAATAGCTTTCTTGTTCTTGCTGCTGCTGAAAGCCATACAAGCTCATTTGTCAAATTCTTTGCCTCAGAAATATCTGAAACAGAAAGTGGAAGTCCTCTGTTCATCTCTCTTCCTCCCCTCTCTTAACTACTCCTATTGGCTATATCTTTCCAGAACTTGTTTGCATGGGCACACACTATTTAATAAAATGGCTAAGATTTATTGAGCGCTTACTGTGTGCAAGAATTGTGCTAAGTGCTTCTACCTGGGTTTCCACATTGCATCCTCACCAAAACACTATGAATTAGGTGCAACTCTGATTCTCATTTTACAAATGAAGAAACTGAGAGATATTAATGATAATAGCCCACGTATATTGGGTGCTTGCTAGGTAGGTGCCAGGTACCATTCTAAGTACTTTGCATATTATCTCACTGAATGCCCATAGTATGTATAATGCCTGGCATGTACTAGGCAATCAATAAACAGGGGTTGATGCTTCCAGCTTGAAAGTTCGAGAATCTCAGATGAGACATCTAGGATCATTCAGGGGACCGCTAGAGGGGAGGGCTCTTGTGCCAAACCTCCTGAGCTGCAGGCAGCATCCCTGGTGCCTGGAGATGCTGACTCAGCAGTGAAAGATGTAAATTCCTACCTTGGTTTGCATATGATTTACACATATTTATTTATGAATGTCTTTGATTAATGTCAAAGCGCCTCGGTGATTTTTCTGCCAGGCTTCAGGGCCCTGCAGAGGGCACGGTTAGTGTGGACCGGCTGCAGGCTCTGAGTGTGCATGCGTGGGGGGCTGCTGGATGGGGTGACAGTGACAGCTGTGGAGAGGTGGATGGCAGCTGGGGGGTTGAGTGGGCAGACTGGAGCTTGGGATTCTGGAATGGGTGATTTGGGCAGCTGGTATGAGTGGAGGCTGTTTGTCCGCATAAGGCAGGGTACAGCTAAGGGGCTGGGGCAGGGTCAGGCACTGGGGTGCGTGACTTGTGGGTCTCTAGACAAGCCAGGGTGCCAGTCAGGCTTTCTAGGTAGGAACTCAGGCCCTAGGAGCCCAAGGACAGGATCTGGGGTTCAGATTAGGACACCTGGTCTAGCCTGGTGAGGGCTTCTAAAACAAGGAGGCTCGGAGGCAGGAAGGGCCCTCCCTCCAGAGGTGTTCCCCCTGGTGCTGCCCAGGGTGGGGATCCCCTGCTTGGATGCTCTGGGACAGGGAGTGCTCTCTGCAATCAAGGCCTTGGGAGAATCTGCTAATTAGTAGGAATAGTCTGTGTGTGCCAGCTGTGCCCAGCCCTGTGCCTGGCACCATCGGGAAGACCAGTCCCAGCCTGCAAACCTTGGCAGGGAAGCCGGTGAGATAAGGCAGGAAGGGCAGGGCCCCGACCTTGATTGAAGGTTGCAGGCACTTTTATCCATTATCTCCTTTGATTGTCAGCAGGATCAAAGGCAGTGGCTGTCTTATCTCCTCATTACAGAGGAGGAAGCAGAGACTCAGAGAGCTGCAGTGACTTGCCCAAGGTCACACTGTGAGTGGCGGAGCTCAGATTTGAACCCAGCTCTGTTTCATTCTACAGCCTGAGCACTTGGCCAGTTTATTCTGCTTCAGCCAGGTATAAAATAAGGATCACACCTACCTTGCTTAATTGTTGTGAGGGTTAGTTGAGCTCAAGTGTGTAGGGAGGGTAGCACAGTGGCTGGCACACAGTAAGTGCTCAATAAAATTTTTTTTTTTCCCTTAAGTGATAGAGCTAGGATCTTTTTTTTTTTAGAGCTAGGATCTTAAATCACGGTCCAGTAGACTCTACTGTTTGCATGGTACCGTGGTTCTTGCCAAGGTTGGTTGGGAGGGGGGTGGTTGGGGACAGAGCATGACCTCCTCTGTGGGTTGGGTGAGCCCTTGTCATGCATGGGCACTAATGGCCATCAGCATATGGGAGGGGCCACCTGCCAGGCCAGAGCCCCTGTCTACTCTAGGCCTAACTCTGGGTAGGGTGGGGACACTGAAGTTGTCTAGTTAGAATTGCCTGGATTTGTGTGTGTGTGTCTGTATGTACTTGGTGAGGGTCCTTGACTGGGAAAGGAGAGACAACTTTGGGAGCTCTATTAGCAGGCAGTGGTCAGGGCCCGTTCTCATTTTCAGTGGCAGAGATGAATCGAGTGAGGGAGGGAACCCTCATGTGAGGATATGAGGGAAATCACTCCTGGCAGGGGGAATAGCAAGTGCAAAGGCCCTCGGGTTAGAATGGGCTTAATGTGTACATCTTCCTCAGTAGTTACGGAGACAGAATTCACTTGTATCTTCTGGTGTTTGAGGTAGAGGAGCTAAGTGGGGGCAGGATTCATTCATTCATTCGTACATCAATTCAACAACTATTTAGTGCCCACTTTGTGCAAGGCACTATCCTAAGTGCTGATGGCTAACACTTACTGAGCGCCTACTATATTTCTAAGTACTTTAATATATTATTTCATTTAATTTTTACAACAACACAAGGAATCCTGGGGAGACAGTTGGGCTTCCTCTTATTCCTTCAGCTTCTTCCCGTCTCCCAGTCACCACAGTCACGAGTGTCTGCCACTCAGAAAGGGCAGGATCCCCACAATGGGTGAGGCAGGGTGGTCCTGAGAAAATCACGGCTCTGGAGTCTTACATGTCCTGCCTGGGCCCTGCCCAGGATCAGGCCCTGAGCCTCCTGGAAGCCACCCAGTAGAGGGTGGGGTGCCCACATTAATCCCGTTCAACCAGGCCTGCCTCAGAACTTTCTCTCCCCGGGGCTCCCAGTCACATCTTCTCTGTATACCCTCCACCGCTTAGCTCCTGGCCTCCCAGCAGCTCCCTGCATAGCTAAGCCCTGCCTTCTGGACTCTGCTCAGGGAGCCAAGGTGCGACTCGGAGCCGAGGCTCTTGGAAGGGAGAAAAGAAAGTTCCGTACTTGTTTTCTTTTTTTTCCCTAAAGATATATCTTTATTTATTTATTGAAATATAGTTGATTTACAATGTTGTGTTCATTTCTGGTGTCAGCAAAGTGACTCAGTTATACACATATATACATTCTTTTTTCTATTCTTTTCCATTATGGTTTCCCAGGATACTGAATATAGTTCCCTGTGCTATACAGTAGGACCTTGTTGTTTATCCATTCTATATGTAATAGTTTGCATCTACTAATCCCAAACTCCCAGTTCATCTCTCCTCCCCCCCCCCCGCCCCCTTGGTAACCATAAGTGTGTTCTCTATGTCTGTGAGTTTGTCTCTGTTTCATAGATAGGTTCATTTGTGCCATGTTTTAGATTCCACATCTAAGTGATATCATATGGTATTTGTCTTTCTCTTTTTTTTTTCTTTACTACAAACTTTTTTTTTTTTTGCCGTACGCGGGCCTCTCACTGTTGTGGCCTTTCCCGTTGCGGAGCACAGGCTCCGGACGCGCAGGCTCAGCGGCCATGGCTCACGGGCCCAGCCGCTCCGCGGCATGTGGGATCTTCCCGGACCGGGGCACGAACCCGTGTCTCCTGCATCGGCAGGCGGACTCTCATCCACTGCGCCACCAGGGAAGCCCCATTACAAACTTTTATGCTAATATGTGTTGTGAATGGTCATAAGATACATTTAACATATAGTGTTTCCCATACTTAGTTTTCCCCAGGGCTCTTCCTTTGGGAAGCATCTCCTGGAAGTATGGTTGCTCACAACACACTTTTGGAAAAGCGAAATTAATCTCTCTGTCAGGGCAGGTGTTTCAATTGATTGTTTTTCCCCAAATGAAAGCTGTAGATTTTCCCCTTCCACACTTGTTTTCTGATGGGACTGTCCTGAAACACTCCCTGTGCTTAACTAACTCTGATGGAGGGCGGTGCTCACCTGGCCTGGCCTGGCTCCCTCTGTCCTTTCCTTAAGATGGTGAACACACAGGCCTCAGCCAGGGTGGGTTTCTCAGTTCTTGACCACCCACCTGTGCCTGTGACCTGGGCTCCTCAACCTCTCCTGCAGGAAAAGGTACAGAGAAGAAGAAATAGAAAAGTTGCTCAAAATGCAGAGGCCAAGGGAGGAGTCTGGTGCTTCAGTCTTCGGTGAATAAAGAAACCTGGTAAAGAGGTTTTCTGGATGGGACAAAGGAAAAGGAAGATCTTGTTCTGATGGGCTATGCTAACCTGGAAATCATGACTCCGTCTGTTTTCCCATCCACCCATCCATCTATCCATCCATCCACCTACCCATCCATCCACCTATCCATCCACCCCCGCCCCATCCATCCATCACCCATCCATTCAGCCACCCACTTCATCCATCCATCCATCCATCCATCCACTGACTGAATGCCTAACACAGCCACTAGTTCAGTTATGCTTACTGAGTGCGTATGTTGGAGAGCTGGTCAGTGTTTATACTTTTGTGACCCTTCTGTTTATATATTTCCTCTCCCTACCGGGTTCTTAGAGAGGTTCCTTGAGAACTCGGGGCCCCAATCCCCCTATAGAGACAAGAGGAAGGGCTCTGTCTTGGCTGTGGGGTGGTTAGCAGCTGCCTGGCCTGGGCGCCCTGGGGGACCAGGGTCGTGGGGAATCTTGCATGCTGCTCCCACCCCTGCTGGGCTGGGCCTGTGACCCTCACTGTGACCCAGCCTGGAGGATGCCATGCTGCTGCAGGGGAAGGGACTCACCTCCTGGCAGCCTGCCTGTGCTGCTGCAGGGGCTGATGGCCCCTTGCCAGCACCAAGCTTTTGGAGCGGTAAAGTTGTGTGGCTACGGAGCCTCTCCACACTGCTGTAATAAACAAGCAGGCTGGGACCCGAGGCGGGAACCGGGTCAGGGGCTGGCTGTCACGCTGGCAGGTGGAGGAGCCTCGTGAGGGCTCAGAGGAGTGGGTG